TGATAGTCACATCACATCTATCCTGTGACAGATGAGGAGGCAGGGCAGAAGGCTTGGAAAAGGTAACCGGATCGAAGTTAACCTCTACAGGAAACAGACTAAAGGGCAGACGTGAGTCTTAGACAGCGATACAGTGACAGTGGCTAGACTACTGGCTGACCCTGGTGTCCCCTACACAGGTTAAAAAAAAAAAAACAAACCTCTAAAACCAAGTGGAATGGTTTACAAAAGCCTGTGGTTTAATAAAGAAGAATAAAAGCTACAGCTTAAATTCAATGACAACTTTCAAACAAATACAGTTTTGTTTTCCCCGTAAGGGCAATTTACTTTTACCATCACAGTGGGCTAGTTTAACATTTCTGAAACTGTAACTTTTCGTTAATGTTAACCAGAGAATGATGGTATTTGCTGATTCTGGAAGACCCAGAAATATGCAGACGTCAAAGCTCCGAGTGGTTCTTTGTTGCGTGTCACATTTTTGAAGACAGCTTCAGATAAACCCAACAATTGAGCTGCTGTAAATACCCTTGCTCTTTCATAAATTTCTCGCTATATTTAGAAGTACAGCTTCCTTTGTTCACAGACTGCGCCAACTGCTCTGTATTTAGATTCCCAAAGGTGTGCCTTGGACTCATTTGCTAGCTGAATGAATAGCTACGTGGCTGGATGAACAGGAGAGCTAACAGACAGCTCTGTTGGGATGTTGCAGATGTGGCCCACAGAGTGCTCCGTATGTGTGGGTCCCTGACCAGCTATCCCTAAGGTTCCCACCTTCACAAGCATGCCTTTCATACTCAACACAGTGAGACTGGATTAAACTGGAGTAGAGGCAGCAAGATAGGTTGATATATAATAGTCGTTCTTAAAAAAAAAAAAAAAAAGGCTGAGTATGGTGGCAGATGCCCTTGATCCAGGCACTCGAGAGGCAGAGGCAGGAAGGTCTCTGTGAGTTCAAGCCCAGAATGGTGTGGCAAGAGCTCTGTCATTGGATAGAGAAGAGGTAGGCAGAGCTAGGAGTGGGGAAGAGGAAGGAACAAGAAGACAGAAGGAGAGAGGAAAGAAGATAGAGGCAGATGTCCACGTGTCTCTAGCTGTCTAATGTAGTTATAAATATCAAGGTCAGGTAATTGGGTTAACAATTCTAATTGTGTGGGCATCTTGTGTGTTGAGTATTTGCTGATATGTAAATCCATTGGATAATCTTTAAGCACTAAGTGTCTTCATTCTACCAGGTACTGTGAGGATGGTGGACATTGTCTGGGGTTGAGCCAAGCACTATGAGGGTGGCAGAGTTGGCACAAGGATCATGCTTAGAGCCATGGAGTCCACGGAGCTGACCAGTGGAGGCAACAGCCACACCAACATCTCATCGGTCCCGGGCCACTCTTCTGGCCAGCCAGTGATGCGCTTAGGTACAGGAATTTAGAGCAGAAACATGGCGGCCAGGAGCTAGCCACCCTGCTTTTTCTAATACTTCCCGCTAAAGCATGGTCTACAGAATGAAATCTAGGACAGACATGAGACCCTGTTTCAAAAACAAACAAAAGTTCTGGTGGACAAGGAAGGAGGTGTTAGTGAGAGCAGGACAGTTGTCTTACAAGGCTAAAGGAAGCACCTGTCATAGCCCCTCCCTTGCAAGAGGTCCATGCCAACAGGCACTAATGATGAGTTTACAGTCATATAATTCTCTAAAGCATGGTTCTCAACCTGTGGATCACAATCCCTGGGATTGGGTCGGGGTAGGTGCCAAGACCCTTTCACAGGGACTACATATCAGACATCCTGCTTATCAGATATTTACATTATAATTCATAACTAGCAAAATTATAGTTATGAAATAGTAATGAAAATAATTTTATGGTTGTATGTCACCATAACATGCGGACCTATATTAAAGGGCCACAGCATTAGGAAGGCTGAGAACCACTGCTCTAAAGTACTTCATTCTCCTGAAGAGAGGCCTCAGAATCTACACAGCCCCAGTCTATTGTGTGTAAGAGGCAGGAAGAGGTCAGTGGAGAGAGGAAGACTGTTGGTGACTGTGCTGGTCAGCTCCCCACATTGTGACAAATGCCTGAGAGGATGACCCTAGAAAGAGGAAGGACTTTGCTTATAGCTTCATATGCTTCAATCCATGGCCAGTTGGCCCATTGCTTTTTGAAGCTGTGATGAGGCAGTCTATAGAGCTGGAGTGTGTGACAGAGGAAGCAACTCACCAGGAAGCAAGAAGGGTTAGGTAGATCCAAGACTGAACTTATTGGCTCCATGTCTTAAAGGTTCCCCCGGCTCCCAATAGCTCCACAGGCTGTTCTCCATGCCTTTAGCAGACACTTATTCAAACCACAGCATTTACTAGGGACACCGAGTGAGGGAGTCAGAGCATGGGATGCCTGTCAGATTTCTGGGCAGCTTCTCATTCCTTGCTAAAACCCATATTTCGGAGGCTCACAGCCCTCAGATCACGACTTCCCTTTTAGCTTTTACATCTCCTGTGCAAATGAAGTCACAGGAGACATTCAGCTGTTACAAACTTCATGTCAAGCTTTGAAGTGCTTTTTAATAGCAGAAATATTTGGCTCACGTGTGGGCTTTGTAGCTATGGTAAATACCTCTTAGTTATCTGTCGCTGCTGTTATTCCACACCTCCAATTTGGGAGAAATTCTGCATATGCATTGAGGCGCTAGAAAAGAATATTGAACTATATCTGAGCTCTTTTGTGAATGGGTTCCTTTTATTTCTTCTCTCATGGAACTAATACGTTCATCGCATTGTACTGGTTATGGGTGGGAAGGCAATGGGCACTGAGGGGCGCTGATTACTGTGACAGTGGCTGGTGGCTTTGCTTTCTTAGCTGCTGGAGGTTAAGGGGTCAAGCAGTTGCTTACTGATCTTACAGTAAGATCACGCTCAGAATCATTTGCTTGCACAACCCCCCATCTCTCTCTCTCTCTCTGTGTGTGTGTGTGTGTGTGTGTGTGTGTGTACATGTAGTAGAGGCTACAGGCCAATGTTGAGTGTTCTCTACCTTATTTTATGGGGAAGAATCTCTTACTGAACCTGAGCTCACCTGATTGGCTAGACTGGCTAGTCAATGAGACCCAGAGACAGTCCTGTCCCCACCTCCGCTGTGCTAGAGCTCCAGGCACACAACATTGAACCATTTTTGATTTCTTTTTTTAACATGGGTGCTAAGATTTGAACTCAGGTCCTCAAGCTCGTGGCAAACATTTCACCAACTGAGCCATTGCCCAGTCCCTGCTTCCTAGCAATGCTTTAGAAGACTTTGAATAAAAATGCTGTTACTTTTTACAAAAGAGGAAAGTGACCACAATTAGTCTGTGATAAAGGTAGAAAAAGAAAAAAACAAAACAAAACAAAAAAGTCCCTCATTAGGGAGTCCTATATCATTATTGAAATGCAGTCTTAGGTCTTTATGGCCTGCCATGTATCAGAACAATAGATTTAGACGTAGGTAGCATCTCTGCGAAGGGCCACACTTGAACAAAGGCCAGGCACTAAGTGTTTGGGATCTGCCCTGAGCTAACCGTAACAGTTTACTTCCTTATGCTACTTAATTATTTTATGAAATGATAACAGAAAATTCTATTGCACTCTCCAAGTTAAACACTTGACACTTTTATTCCTTAAAAAATGCAACATTTTAGAAGTCTAGATATGTTTATTAATTAGTGATTATTAACACTCAGTAAACAACATTATGTCTTGTAAAAACACAATTTCGCTGCACAGCGTGAAGCTGGGGTCTATTATCCCCGATTCCATATGCTGAAATACACTCAAGCGCTCACAAATGACCCTAAGCAGTACGTAACTGTAAACGGGAGCCACACAGAAAATGCACTTTTGATTGATAACTAAAAGACCAGGTTGGAAAGCACTCGACAAAATGAAGTCCTGTCCAGAAGGCGACGGCTGTGGGAGTCGCGGAGGAAGGGCTCCCCTAGGTCTCCCTCCCCGGTGCTGAGACTGCAGCTCTGTGCCTTCGTGCCCAGCATCACTTTGGGTTTTATCCATTATGTCTAGTCACCCAACTGTTTTTCTCAAACTAAGCAGTCAGGGTAGGCAAATGTCCTCAACATGGAGAAACCTTAAAACACCAAAGGATGATGCAATAATAGTGGAGGATGAAGTAATTCCAAATGGAATTGTTACTGGAACAAACCGGTGGTTAAACACACAAAGGGGACTGTACAGAGACAGCCATTCCACCTGGAGAGCACTAAAGTGTGCCGCTCCCTTCCTAGGTCAGCTGACCACAGGGGAGACCACAGCACACTGTGGCTCTGCTAACAGAAAGCAGTGCTCCCAGCCTGGAATAGACGGAGCCGAAAGAGACCGGACACACCCAGACTGTGAAAACCATGGCTAGTGAAGGTGTCTCAGCCTCCGAGGTATTGGTGTCCTGGGGCAGACACTTCCAGGGTATGGAGGGGTTTGTTGTGTTTTGAAAGCTGGCTAGAAATAATCTCTACCACTAGACATCAGGACCAGTAGAAACCTGTAGTGATATTGTTTGCTCTGACCCCAAGACCTGAGGACAACAAGAAGAATAAAAAATGTTCCCAGTGACTGCCAGAATCCCCTAGGTTGCAAAACTGTCCGTGTTGAGGACCACTGAAATAAAGCCATTTAAGAAGGCTAATTTAAGCTGGGCTTTTCCCAACCTCATACTGAATAATCTTAGCATGAATCGACCCTTAATTCAATGTATAATATATTATCTTGAGAGTGTTCTATACTATTTGTATTTTTGGTGTTCTCATCTATTGAATGGAGTGTCTGTCCGTCTGTCTCATGGAAGTCTGACAAGATTAAATGAGACGATACATGTGAAATGCTTAGAACAGTGCCTGACACACAGAAAGTGCTCAATTAATGTTATTAATATTACGGTATTATTATTAATCATTCATAGCATCAAGAAAACAGTTTCAACTGGGACATTTTAATTCAGACAGGATACAGAAAGTTATCTTACCGGCTTGATATTGCCTGAGTCTTAAACACGCCAGTCTTCTTATTGCTTGCGATGATGTTGTTCACATCTACAGGGTACAGTTAAGAAAACTTCTGCAGCGATTATCAACTGACTACAAGAAACAACCTACAAAGACTTAGGCTTCTTATCACAATGGGATCAGCACAAGGAAAAGAGAGGCGCTGTCATAGCTCTGCCGTGAGATGCTAACTTAACACCAGCAACATCTTTTCATTTCCAGGCTTGCAATTTTTCCACCTGTGTAAGGACCATCTAGGTAGTGTCATGGTGGGGTGGGGGTACTCAGAGGACAAATGCTGGAGGGAACTGCTGGGGAGCATGAGGTGCTGTGCCACTTCCCAGGTGTGTGTGGGGAGGTCGATCAAGCATCCAAAAACAGACGTCCACCAGTCCCGGAGGACGGCAAGCCTTTGTTGACTTTCCAACCTCCTAAAAGCTTGTAGGGGAGAGGTGAGCTTCGGGGAGAGTGCTGGGAGGAGGCAGAGAGAGGGGTGGAGAGAAGCTTGGAGCATCTTTGGGAGAAAAACATAACACCAAAGAATAAAGTCAACCTAGTGAAAGGTTCTTGAAGAACTTCTGCTAGCATAGAAGGACTCCTGCAGGAGAGCCATGTTTAGATTAGAAGTACTTTGTGGACCTGATGCGTAACATCCTAAGACCCTTGGGAAAATCACATCTAGTTTCAACACTAGAAAAAGCTGGACTTCAGGTCCACCATGGGTGGTATAGGTCTTGTGAGTGCTGTTCCTTCTCTCTCTGCTCTGGCCCCTGGACGGTAAGAGGCTAATGAATACACTACGCCTGATACCCAGAACAGCTCATGCGGTCTCACTTTCGGTACTGACCTCTGTCTGTTGGTATCCCCAAAATCCCCTGGCTTTCTGATTTCTAAATATCCCCCCCCCCACACTTTATTTGACCTGGCACATTTGCTATATGAACTTCACAATCGCTCTCCTGGAATAAGGCAAGTTTAAATAAACAAGAAATAAAATAATTCTAGCGAAGGGGCAAGCTGAATGAAATTGGGCCTGTGGGGAGGACACCAGGCACACAACGATGTTCCCTATTGCTCAGAAAAACAGATTTCCTGAGCGTTCAGAACACACACTGGCTGAGACCTCCCTGCCAGAACAGAGCCACAGGATTCTTAAACTCAAATCTCTGCTTGAACTACGGGGCACACCCATTCTTCTCCGAGTGAATAAACAGGTACAGTGGTAGCTTTCTTCCCTCGGGAGTGGGGAGGAAAAATCAATTAGGTCTCCTAACGACGGGCTTTGTTGAGGTTTACAAAAGTGCCATAATGCAGACTTTCTTTTTTTCCTGAGTGAACTTTCCTGTATGCAAATTAAATACTGTTAAATTACATTCATTAAAAAAATAAAGGAGACTAATTTGCCTACTTGTTTTGATTAACTAAAATGACACAGCGGCCTACAGTTTCTGTCTATTTCAGGAGTGTTCTAGATGAAGCATCTTGCAGGAAAGGACACCTGACATCCTCAGTCTGAGAAGCAAAATTAGTAGAGTCAACTGACAACTCTTTTTTATTAAGTCCCCTCCCCTAGCCACACCCTACTCTTCGTTTCCATGGTATCCAACTGCCTACCATAATGTGCCTGGCACACCTGTAGCGTCCTTTGAGTACATGAGTAATCTATCAAGCAAAACATATTATTTTGTTAGTGAAGGTAATACTTTTTATAAAATAGTCACAGGGAAGTTAAATTATATAACTCAGAAAACCTATTAATAATTTTTAGTAAACATCTTAACACTATATACTTTATACAATTTATAAACCCATGACTCTGGGAGGTCAGGCCCAGAGCAAGCATGGATATTTATATTCTAGAAGTTGTTTTCTTAATGAAAAATTCACAGCAGTACTTAGGCTACCTTAGTTTTAGAACTGGGCAGGAAATATATTTTGTGGTTTAGAAGGGCTTTTAAAATATATTTAAAAGAAACACAAGGAGAAAAGATGGCAGGTGTTATTTCAGAACATCACCTTAAGAGATAAACTCTGAGATCGTGCCCCTAGCCTTTAGGTCCGATTGTGATGGTCTTTCTGGATGGCACTGTGTCCAATCATAGATTTTATCGTCTCCCTATGTCACCTCAGGGTAATAAAGGAAATCCAATCAAACTGAGTCAATATGAGCAGGATAATGTTCATCGCCACAGACCCAATCCTGCTCTGTGATCTGCTCCCATCACCCAGAAGATCTCATGGGGAGGGACTGGGAGCCAGAAACGCCTTCCTGTGGTTTCCAGGTGAGAAGGAGCAGCTGTCCCAGTCCCCTTCTCAGGGCAGCTGCTGGCGCCTCAAAGGGAGCCAGAGTTTTACCTCAAGCAATCCTTCTTAAACAAAGGTCAGGAGCGATCTTCCATTCAAATTATCAGTTTATTTTTATTCTTAAATACGTATACTCGTATACAATAGCAGCAACAGTCTTTTAGGTCAACTGCATACATTATAGACATGTAAAATACTGTTGAAAATATTATGAGCCTAGCTGTATAATCAGCAATTGTATTTATCAGCTGTACCTACATTTTGAATCAGGTTATTCTTCTTAAATTTATTTATTTATTTATTTATTTATTATGTTGTTTGGCAACCCCCCCCCCCATGTGTGTGTGTGTGTGTGTGTGTGTGTGTACCATATGTGTGCCTGATGTCCTTGGAGACTAAAAGAAGATATCGGATTGTCCGAGACTCCAGTTACAAACAGTTCTGAGTGCTGGGAATTGAACCTGGATCCTCTGAAGAGCACCCATAAGCTATCTGTCTGGCCCCAATATTATTATTTTTTTAAAAAAAGCTTTCATTTTAAACTCTGTCTCTGTCTCTCTCTGTCTCTCTCTGTCTGTCTCTGTCTCTCTCTGTCTCTCTGTCTCTCTCTGTCTCTCTGTCTCTCTCTGTCTCTCTCTCTGTGTGTGTGTGTGTGTGTGTGTGTGTGTAGTCTGTGTGTGGGTTTCTGGATACGTGTATGGATCTTGCAAAGGCCAGAGGTGCCGGATTACTCCTGGAGCTAGGAAGCGTGTATCCTGGGAAGCCAGTATATATGCTCTTAACTGCTGAGACAGCTCTGCAGCCCAGTATTGCTCTTTGACAATATTTAAGAAATAATAACACTGTGACTCCTGAGGCATTGCTTTTTTTGGTTTATGTTATCTTCAATTTCACTGGGGGATTAAAAGGGAGGGAAGAACACTAAGATTATAACATAAATCTTATTAATTTTGATCTCTAAATGACATTTTACATGCTCGAAAGCAGCAATTTTTTGTTCTGATTTAAGGTTACATTTTATCTATCTATCCACCCATCCATCCACCCACCCACCCACTCACCCACCCCATCCATCCATCCATCCATCCATCCATCTATCATTTTATTGTTTTGAGACAAGGTTTCTCTGTGTAGCCCTGGCAATCCTGGAACTCGTTCTGTAGACCAAGCTGGTGTTGAATCTGCTTGACTCTGCCTCCCTGGTGAGTGCTGGGATTAAAGACATGTCTGGATTTACTCTACTCTTAAATCAGTTCCTTACTCCAACAGATGGAGAAATGACACCAAGGTGGGACCAGGTCTGTTTGCAATGCCACCTGGTACCTTTATGGATGTCAGCCACTCCCACTCTTCTACCCCCTCCCTGCAGCAGGTGCACTGGGATATTCTGCTGATAACAGCACAGAGATGAGGCAAGGCAGGATGCTTGAAGCCAATCAATCAGTGGCCATGGCCAACCAGGTCGCTCACCTGCAGGTGTTTTACTTTTCTTTCCCTCCTATTTTCCCTCCCCACTTCCTGTCTCTTTTGCTTTGAGACAAGGTTTCATGTAACCCAGGCTGGCCTCGAACTCCCAATCCTCTTTCCTCCACCTCCCAAGTGCTAAGATTACAAGCAAGTTGCCCAGATCCCAGTTCTACTTTTACTCATTTGATTTGGAGAGGGCTTTGCAGTGATAAGAATTCAGCCTACCACTTCTCTCCCTTAGTCTTCTATCACTGCTACATTTCTCCAGCTACACCTTACTGAGTAGTTATTACATGTGAGGGATTTCTTTCTTACCACACTAAAAGGGAAATAACGAAGGACTTTTTTTTTATATTACTATAAAATAAATTTGAGGGGCTGGACAGCTTGGTGGTTAAGAGTACTGGCTGCTTAGTTAGGTTCCCAGCACCCACATAGTGGCTCAAAACCATCTGTAACTCCAGTTCCAGGGAATCTGATGCCCTCCTCTGGTCTCTTCAGGTACCAGGTACTCACATGCAACACAGATATGCATGCAGGCCAAACACTCATATTAAAATAATAATTAAAACCAAATTGAGAACTGGGTAAGCCAGATGATTCCATTTCCAGTTTATCCTTTGAATTCTTGTGGGTACAGATGAAATGCTATCTTTAGTAGAAGATGGTTCTCAGGATGGAAAGCTCCAGATTAAAGCCAGTGAGGTACCTTAAGGATCAAGGAGAAACTTAAGGAAACCTACTCATGAATCTGAGAAAATATCCAAGATATAAGTTTTACCTCAATTCTTAATTTCTTTTTAAACATCTCTTTGCATTAAGTCTCAGATCAACAGTTAGTTCTCCAGGGTCAAGATTCAGAGGCCTAGAGACATAGGCAACCCATGGTACATCTTAGAAAGATAAACAGCCACACAATTGGCTAACATGCTTTTGTAATACACAGGTCCAGAACTAATCTCCTTATTGCCTCACACATTAAAAATAAGTCAAGCTCATTCTCTGTTTTGGTCTTTCTCTGTCTGCCTGTCTGTCTCCATCTCTCCCTCTTGTCCCCACACCCTCAACAGATCTTTATACTTTAAAAAAAGGTCAAGCTGAGAAAATTAACAGATAAAAAATCAGAATGCTAAAGCCTTAAAGACCAGTAAATACGACGAGCAGGGTCCGTTCCATTCAGCAGGCGAGAACAACAAGGCGGTTTTTAAATGATGAGACAATACACAGGCTAACACTCAGCTGATGAGTGACTGCCAGGTCGATTTTTATCATCTCTCTGGTATGTTCATTTGTTTCTTAATGTGCTCATCTTGCCCATTAAGAATAATTAGCAGCTTTGCCTAGAGATTCGCTGGCTTCAGACAAGGTTTCTCCCCACTTGTTGTTGCTGGCCTTAGCCTTTACTTTTTACAAAGTAATTTTTGGATAATATCCTACGATTGCTGCATAATTTGAGCTTCCTAAAACTGTAAAGGGAAGACATAAACAGTGATTCCTGAATGAGTTGTTTGATCTATACGCTTCTATACGCTGCATCGGCACTGTGTGATTTGGCAAATGATTTAGTCTTACAGAGGGGGGGAACACACATGGGGAGGGAACTCAGTCATATTAATTCACTCATCAAAACAGATTACAAAGCATGCCCATCGTAAGCTGTTTGCAAATCAACAACATTAGTATTAAAAGCAGGAAACCACATTGCCAATTTTAAGGCTTTTGCATGCTTTTTTCTCTTAATTAAAATAAATTAGATCTACTTACAACAGAAAAAAAGGCACACAAACATGGAAGGAGAACACCATAAAAACTGAACCCTATCAGGAAGGTCCTAAGAGATGAAATAAAACGCACAGCCAGTTTGGATCTGCATCCTGAAAGGACCTACTTCATCTACATTGTAAGGTTCTCCCCTCCTGCCCTTTGGCACCCTGCTATATTAAACCCATTGTAAAACCCAGCACAATAAAGCTCTCTCAGGGCTGAGCCTCTGAGGACCAAATGTTAAAAATCCATTTTCTTGGGAGGGGGCTGTACCAATCATTTCGTTGAAAGGCTAGCAGAGTGAATGGCAGAATCTGAGATTTCCTCTCTGATTTCAAGAGCTAGCCTGGCATCTCTGCTGTTTAAAGCAAAGGTGTGACGATGATTAATGACATTAGCCTTGCTTCCCCCTTCTTTGGAGTCTCTGTAGATTAGTTCAATAATAATTTTAGTACAATTAAATTTACATACTGATTCCAGATGCTTCCCACAGTTTGATGATAAAAACTTCTAATTGATTTCTGGGGCTATTAAATAAAGTCACTTGCTGACTTCACGGCTACTGGCCCCAATCTGAAAGTCTCTGTAATCAAAACATCTCTCTGTTACTCAAAAACCGTCGCTTAAGTCTGATCTGGCATACCTGAGAGTTTCCCATTGCTCTCCGTGCTCCCTGACAAGGAGGAGCACAGTCAGTGAGAGAGAAGAACCCAGAATATAGGAGTGAATGGAGCAGCAGCAGTCGTCCTCAGGAATATTTAAAAGGACTTGCCACAGTCTCAAGATCATGATTAAAATCTGATGTTTAAAAAAAGGGAAGTACCTTTTGTGATCTCTTTCCCTGGTGTGAAAGGCCAAGGTTGTGATTGGCTGTTTGTCCTTCCTGAAATTTTTTTTTTTTTTTAAAGGGCTGTCAGGCAATTAGCTGGGTGGGGCTCTGCGGAGCTCACAGCTGCTGCACAGTATTAGCCGCCATGGTCTGGTTCCTCCTTCCTGTATGAGCAGCTGACGAAGCTGCCGGCAAGTTTATTTTCGAAAAAAATTACAGAGTGGAGGAAGGAAGCAGGAAAAAAATCAAAAATTAAACAAATAGGCTTTATATAAAAGGCTACAAAATTCAAAGCTGTCTCAAGCCGTGGGAGGGGGTAAATATTCAAATAAGGTCCTGTCTTCCTCACCGTGTCAAAAAAAAAAAAATCCAAAGCAAACAGATCTTCCACATTTCCTCTCAATTTCTAACTGCTGCTAACTGCCTTTGAGCAAATCAGCTAGACTGCTAAAGTAGCCAATAACTTACGTTCGCTTTCTTAGTTAAAGTACAGTTCAATCTCCTGAACTCTGTGTACATATTAGTAAAGCATAATCTAATATAATGGGGTTTGAACTGTAATAGCATAGCAGAAAGAAAAAAAGGAGAGATAGCTTTTTAATCCTAAATAAAGGGAGATGACTAAGAGGTGATAGCTGCTTCCAGCAGGAGCTAGAAGCAACCCCTGAGCAATTAGCATAGCAACAGTACGACCGGTATGTGTAATATCACAGGCATAGAGGCTAGATATTAATATTTACAAGCAATGTCAAATAAAGTAAATAATAATTTTAATCTGCTTGGTGTTGAAAGATATTAATGAGAATAAAAGAACGAGAATGTTTCAAAATTATGAAGATTTCGCATCGCCTTGAGAGGCAGGAAAAACACAGACCCCTTCGGCGAGGAGTGTCTGGAAACCCTATGAAAAGGAAGACCCACACAGTCATCTGCTGGGAAGTCATATACTGCTCGTTTTTCTTAATTACTGATCATGTGTATGAGGAGCTCTTTTTTAATACCCCGTGCTGTCTGTCTTTATGTGGACTGTTACTCAGCCTGGGGCGGGGGTTGCGGGGGGGGGGGGGGAGCACAACGAACCGGCTTTCTATCTGAATAAGGATACTTCTGATGGCCTTTTCATTCCCATCAGTTAGCAGAACTTCTTTGACATCTGCAGAAATAGCAACCTGGAAAGAAGAAGAAAAAAAAAAAAGGAGCAGGGCAAACAATGAACAAACATGCGTGTCTGTGTGGGAGTGAGGACGGTAGTGACAAGCCTTCGGTATCATGCTTCCTCACCCATTTCTCTGTAACAATCTTCAATCTTTTTTCATTTTATGTCTGCATTATTTTAATCATTCAATCAAATCAGTCAATACTTTTATCATTCCATTTGCGGGAGCCTCTATCTTGCTATCATTCTGTTCGGTAATTGCATTGTGACAGCGGATGATGGTATTCTGAGAGGCTTTCATTTGTGGGCTTCTGTTTATCTAGTAGAGCCATCATACAAGGCTGTCACTCTGCCTTTCAGCTTGCTTCTGTCTGGCTGCCTGATGCCCTTCATATAACTTTGCATTGCAGGCAGATGGCTTTGTGAGGGTAATTTTTTTGTGAGCTTTGACATGCTCGCACATTGGGCTGTAACCTCGACACATTGTATAAGAGCGACAGGTTTGTCAAATGCCAATCAGTGTAACAATATGCTTTTATTTGTAGAGACATAAAAACTTGTCTAATGCACTGTGCTGCTACATAATATCTCCTGAATACATGACTCAGAACCCAGAGAATGGGGAACGACGTTCCTGAATGGCCAATCTAATTCAAAAGAATCTAATTACTGAGCGCTCTGGATCATGTTTGTTGGTGTAATAATGCAGGCAAAACATTAGCAGCTATCTCATGGTGCTCCAACTGTGATTCGCCGGGCTAGTCCTGTATCTTAGCAAATGGGACTATAATCTGAAAAAAAAAAATGCTTTTGCTATAGCAAAGAAAGACTCTGCGAGGCCTGGAATGTCACAACAAGCGATATTGACTACACTGAGGTAAAATGTTTCTGCTCATCGAGGCAACCATAAAATCAATATGATCCGAAAGTAAGTCAATCTAGAAGGTCTCTCAAGACCCGGCAGCTTGACCGCAGCTGATGCTGTTGACGGTTCTCTGACCCAGCAGTTGGAGCCCCTGGAACATTTTTCCTTTTGTTTTCCCTCTGAATGGGATTGGAATTGAGAAAAGACCTACCATGAGCCCAGCCAAGCATGTCATGCCACCCCCTAGCTCACACACAGCAAGGCCCCTGAAAAAGAGAAAGACATGGTAGAACCCATACAAATTAGATGGGAATGGCCAGAGCCATATATATGTTACAAGAACAAATTACCATCTGCAGTCAGAACGACACTGCCATGGAGTTGTGGAGACACGACTGGCCCACCTCATGGAGTTTTGCGTTTTAAAAATAATTATGAAATAGAAAAGTCACAAAGCAGGCAGACCAGTGGGGGTTCCCTCATTAGCGTTCGCTGCAACATTACCACCGCTGAGCTGAAAAATCTGAGAAGGTTCCCTTTTTTCCCTTGTCAATGGCGCTGTCTTTTAGGACTAAACTAGCTAGAGTTGCGAAAGATAATTGTTAGGAAAGGATAACATTGTTAATCCACATTCATGCCTTCAAAAACAGTTAGACAAGTAAACGAAGAAGGTGTATGAGTGCCTACGAACTTATATTAGAGTCACACACAAGGCACAAAGAAACACAATCCTGAGGGTTTTTTTTTTGTCTTGTTTTGTTTTTTTAAATTCTAAAACAAGCTGAAATATTTTGGAAAGCTGAACCACCCCCATAAAGCACAATTACCCAAGAGCGTTTAGTAATTAACACTTAGATCACAATTGACCCCAGCACAACACAGTGACTAAACAAAGCAGGGGTATAATATAGCTAACTTGGGCAAGCCCAAGCTGGAGTGGGACTGGGCTCAGACTTAAGGCTCAATGTGCAGTTCTACAGCTACTTTCCCCTGTTGTGCCTAAATGTCAGCCCTCCTGTGTGGCATGTTCACCCTGGCCCACTGCTTGCTGACTGGAGCTTAAGCACAGAGATGAGCACAGGCCAGCCTCCAGGGTGACTGAGCAACCTGATGGAGGCCTGCCTTCATATGTGACAAGCTTAGACTCTTAACACTGTGTAGTCTCAAAGTTTGGGAAGTTTATGGAGAAAAAAAAAAAGAGGAAAATTAAAGTGTGTGTGGGAGGGGTGGCAAAAGAGGACATTTTTATTAGAAATTATTTTAATATGTATTTAGTTATCTAAAGTAACCACAGATTGGTTGGTAAACATCGCTCCACAGAGCTTCAAATATTACATGGTATCAACCTAATTTTTTAAGAACATACGGTTTAAACATATCATGATCACTAATGGCTTGTTTTAAAACATAATGGACTGAAGTATACATAGAATATTCATAAAATGACAATTAAAAAGAAACAAATCCCGAACTCCTACTTTCTGCTTGTATCAAAGATCTCCAGAAATTTTAAATAAAAGATCTTTTTTCCCTAAATTCCATGCATGATTTGATACATAACACATATTAACAGCTAAAAATATTGATTTCTTTAGTATAGTAATTTATATTATACATATTGTCACCAACACAAAAAATACCTTTAAAGCCAGAGCATCTTCAGTTAATAGGTGTAAGGCATGTATCTAATACGTTAGTGACTTCTGTAGCAGAAGTTACAGAATGTGTTTATTGTGGGGACTTTTTTTTTTTTTACTTTCACAATCAGCAAGGATTGATTGTACCTCCACTTTTGTTTCCCCCAAATCAAAGCAAAATGAAATGCTCTGAGTGGAAATCAGGAGCCTTTGACAGACAGCAAAAGCTGGCTGTGTGACTTTAGCCTGAGGGCCATGTGGATGCCTCCTCAGAAGCAACACGTTTTCCTAGGGAACTCTTTTTCCTTTTTTCTTTTTCTTCCTTTCAACAATTTACAGTCTGGAGAACATAGGACAGCTATTTCCAATAGGCAGATTCAATATCCGAGATGGGCTAGGCAGCTATCTTTTAATTGCAGCCCTTACCTGAATATATGACTGTGCTTAAGGCAGTAGTAAGCCAAGACCTCCTCAGACGGCCAGATACCTGGAAACACAAGAGAGACACTAGAGTTGGACAATCTTTCCTTTCAGAGCAGCTTCTAAAACGAAGGCTCACACAAGCCATTGCATCTCCAACCAAACTCAACACCACGGGCCAGATCATGATTCTCTTTGGCTGTTGTGTTTACAATGGCCTATTCCATTGTAAACACAACCTTCCCCAGAAGAGCAGTCTCTATAAACTTTGCCAAACTCCAATTACAACAAAACAAAACAAAACTACTAACTACCAACATTACAGATATCAAAACTTAATGTTGATAGTAGTTCAAGAGGATCTTACTCTTAGTTATACAAAATTAACACATGGAAATTGAAGACTTCCTATATGTGCGTGTGCATATGCAGCTCCTTTTAGGCAAAAAAAAAAAAAAAAAAAAAAAGAAAATCACTTTAAGGAGAAGATAAAACTGTTGACGTCATTCTATCTTTCCATATTAATGCTTTAAAATATCCTCAAGTCCTTTATTTCTTTAGTTAAAAAACTGCTGTATAAAATTAAGAAATATTAATTTCACCAACTTTGGCATGCCTTTAAATCAAACAGTATTCCTATACACTAAAGTTCATGGACAGATGTTTCCTAAAGCCATCACCTATACATCTATTGAGAAGACCTGAAGTTCAAGAAGGGATACGGCTTGCTTCTAGGTAAAGATGTTAGAACTCAGTTTCTAGTGGTTGTCATAGGATGGTAGGATCACATGTGCTTTTAATTCTTTTCTCTGTACTTTTTTCTTGTATTTTCCAACATTTTTACAATGAGCCTACATCACCTTAGATATGAGTAGAACAAATAATCTCATAAAAATTATGGTTTCCTCTGAAGGATCAGACTCAACCATCCATCCATCCATCCATCCATCCATCCATCCATCCACCCCGTCCCCTCCCCACTCCACCTTCCCATTCCAGCTTAAGGAAGCTCCGTGGCTCTGGGAAAGAGCAGTCTCCTCGCAGCAGCACCCAGCACTCAGCTGCCGGGCCTTGTCGAAAGGTTAAACACATTGAAAAGACTTGATTTTTTTCTCCCTACTTTGAAGAGGAAAGAGGTAGTTTCACTAAAGCACCTCTTCAGGAAACCCTGGGCAGGTAAAGTTACTACTCCAACCTCCCAGCATTATCAGGAGAAAGGACAACTTGGGAAGGGAAGAGAGGACAAGGAAAACCAACAAGAGGTGTTTGGAAACACATTTAGAGGGAAGGCAGAGAGGTGGGCGAGTGCAGCCATTAAGACCACAGATTGCTTGAGACCAGTCGCAGCTCTGGTTGCTGGCTGAGAGACTTTGTAGAAGTACTGACTGAGCCTTCAGCTTTTCATCTGCACACCATAATAATTGCAATATCAACTTCATGGGACCCTGTGCGGATCAGATGAGTGAAATACACGCAGTGTGCTTGGGAACAGTTCCGCACTCAAAATAACCACAAAGGAAATGCCAGTTGTTACAGTTGGCCTCTTGCAAAGAGAAGAAATGAGAATGCATGTGGACCGGAGCAATTATCCCAAGAGTCAGGACAGGCAGAGAACAGCTTTTACCTTTGCTTTGCCAGGACCCCAAAGTCACAAGGCCTTGTACACCTCCACACATAAAAAACTTCATAAAGACTGAAGTACATAATAAAATTCTCTGAAGGAAGACCCAAGACACTGTTCTTGCCGAGTAGATATAATTACCACAAGAATGAATTTCTTTATGCCCTCAGTGCATGGCTGTGAGGTTTTTAAAAAAGTAATGATAGGGGAAAGGTATTTAACTAAAACTTAGGCCCTGATGAAGAATGAATATGACTTCTAAAGTGCAGAGTCTTTTCAATTCGTTTTATATTTTTTCCAGAAATTATAGAGTGATTTTTAAAATAAGTTAAATACAAAGATCAAAAGGCTAAATTTCTACCATTAGCAATATAATCACTGTTAATGTTTTAGACATCATTCCAAAAACCCTTTCTAGTCATAAAGGTATCTTACTCAGCTGGGATCTTGTCATGCAGGGATTCAGTAACTTGACTTTGCTCCCGTCCAAGAAGGCTAGCAAGAGTCTGCCACCCGGAGCCTACACTGCAGCTGTGTTGTTTGGATTGACTGCCTAGATACTCTACTGTGCATCCACACTCAATTAACCCATCTCCTCTTAACAGGCAACGAAGCTAGGTCCGAAGTTTGTAATATCGTAAGATTACAATAGTAGCAGGAGAAGGAGGACATGCCTTCTCCTAACATTTTTTTTTTTTTTGATACTTAGAGATGAGCTATCTGGTCGAAAATTAAGGACAGGGTCTGGAGAATAGCTCAGTAGTTAAGAGCACTTGCTGCCCTTGAAGATTACTGAGGTTCAACTCCTAGCACCCACAAGACAGATTACAACCACCTCTAACTCTAGTTCCAGGGTATGCACCTGACTCTTCTGGCCTCCAGGAGCACCAGAGCATGTATTCTGCACACACATACACGTAGATAAAATACTCATACATAGAAAATAAAATAAACAAGTCCTTCAAAAATTAAATACAGTCCATATTCTGGTGGACAGGTTGAGTATCCCTAATCTAGAATACAAAATACTGCAAAACCTGACATTTTCTGAGTGTTCACATGATGGCTAATGGTCACATGATCTCAGGTGATGTCAGTCAAAGCACAGCTGCACTAAAAGTACTATATAAAACCAACTTTGTATAAAATACATATGAAGCTACTAAATTTCATGTTTACACTTAGACTCCATTTACAAGGCATTATGTAACCTCAATTTAAAATGATCTCAAATTTAAAATGCCTCTAGTCCAAGACTTTCAGGATAAGGGACATTGTATCTATACGTCCCCAGGAAGAATGTTTGTTCTGGACTGGCTCTTATGACTTAAGTGCTAGATCATATGTGACAGTGAGAGGGTTGGGGACCGACTA